GCTCGCTCTCAAGATCCAGACCGGCCATGATGGAACAGACAAGACAGAACAGCAGTATTCAGTAGCCGAACTGAGTTGTGTGTGTGTTGTGAGCTTGAGCAAATAATGCTTGAGGGAAGCGTCGACCTAAAATCGGAGATACATCGCCGAAAGGTCGGCGATGAGGCCCCGATTGCGTTGCGAAACGGTATGTTCCTGGGCGGGGTGGGCTATCAGGCCCCTGTCGGCGGTGAATGGGCGGTTGGGGGTCGGTGTATTCCCCCCTGAGCCATCCCCCCCTAACGTTGCCCCTGGCTCGAGACGAGAGACCCCCAGACGCGTCCCATGAGGCCCAGAGGGGGCACTCGAGGCTTCCCAAGCTTGCGCCCCTCCAACGGGCGACAGCGGGCCGCAGGAGATGTGGCCACTGCTGCGCAAGACGTTGCGCTGCAAGCTGGTGGCGCTGCGTTACAACGCAGGGGCGTTGCTCACGAGCAAAGAATGTACCCATATCCAAGCCCTCGCGGCCTGGATTCTGGGGCGCGATCCCTTGGAAACGCAGTCGCATGGGTACTTTCCGCCCGGGGCATTCGCGAAAAAAACATTGTATCCACGGGGTCGGGGTCCAAGGGCGCGGCCTGCGAGGCCGTGGATGTGTGTATATATTTATACACACACTAGAACCATCGCGCTCGCTTCGCGCGCGCTCAAGTTCTGGCTAGGACCCTCGTAATCGTCACCATCGCCATCCTCATCGCCACCACTTTCATCGTCATTGTCATCGACATCGTCATCATCACCATCACCATCACCATCACCATCAACACCATCATCACCACCACCATCAGCAACACCATCGTCATCACCGTCGTCATCATCGCAATCGTCATCATCGTCATTATCGTCACCCGCATCACCATCATCAGGGTCATCATCATCATCATCATCATCATCATCATCATCATCATCATCATCATCATCATCATCGTCATCATCATCGTCATCATCGTCATCATCATCGTCGTCGTCATCATCACCACCATCATCATCAGCATCGCCATCATCGTCGTCGTTTTCGTCGTCGTCCTCGCCATCAGCATCCCTCCCCAAGACCGAGCGTCTTGGTAACTAGGGTTGTGGACCTGAGGCCGCCATGCCTGGGTGATGGGCCAGTGGCCTGCTGGATGCCTGTTCGGATATGGATGGTGAAGTTTTTTCGGAGGCCTCTTGGAGAGCTCTAGGGGGACTCTTGGGTACTTCGTACTTGCCTCTTTGGGCCCCTTGGGAGACTCCGCATCGTCATCCTCCTCATCATCATCAGCGTGATCGTGGATATCGTCGTCAGCATCATCACAACCATCACAATCACCATCACCATCATCATCGTCACCTTCGTCATCATCATCGTCATCATCAGCATATTGTGGGGCTTCTAGGAGAGCACTTTGAGGGCCAATTCGAGTCCTGCTTGACAGGCGCTTTGGGACAGATGTCGCGCGCGGGGAGCGGAAGCCTGAAGAATCATATTATCGGAGAGATTTCTGATAACATGATGGCGTGTATGAGGGTTCACTGGGGGGCTGCCCGGCAAGCATTTTTGGACGCATGGTTGGGGCCGGGGGCGGAAGCCTGAGGAATCATGTTCCCGGAAGGCTTCCTGGGAACATGATTTGTTGGGGTGCCGCTGGGCGCCTCCGGAGGCTTCGGGGACTGACGCGTTTCCGCGCGTGGCGGCAGGTGGCGCTGCTCGGGACTCTCGTTTTTTTTTTCCGGGCAGGCGTTTAGGGAACATGGTTTGGGCAAAGGGCGGCAACCCGAGAATCATGTTCCCGGGAAGCTTTCCGGGAACATGATTGTTTCGGCTCTCTTAAGAGGGGGGCATCTGGGGGCTTACCGAGGGGCCCCTTTTGGCCTTGTCGGCAAGCCTATTGGAAACATGTTTGGGGCAGTGGGCGGAAGCCCAAGGAATCATGCTCCCGGAAAGCTGTCTGGGAAATACGATTTACCGAGATGTCTTGGGGGCCCGCAGGGGGCTTCCCTGGGGTCCCCTTGGGGGCCTTTTGGGGCTTCTGGGGGGCCTCTTGGGAGCCTCGCGAGGCTTCTTGGGCGCCTCGTGATGGCCTCCGGGGGCGCACTAGGAGCCTCGCAGGCCGGAGAACTTGAAATGTCGCGCTCTTCGGGCCCTCTTGGATCGCTCTTGGGGCTCTCTTGGGGTGCTCTCGAGGCCCTCTTGAATTATCTGGGCGGCCTCCTGGGCTTGGCATCCTCTTCGGCCGTCTTGGAGCGATCTGGGCCTCTGACGCCGTCCGGGACCGTGGGGAGGCGGAACACGGGAGAGCGCAAAAATGCTTCAAAAACCATCGGACAAATTATAATTTTCGGCTTCTGGGGCCCTTTGGAGGGGCCTCTGGAGGCGCTTTTGGGGCGTTTTGGCGGCGTCGTCGGCCGTCCTGAGGCCCTTCGGCATGTCCGGGGCCTCTGGGGGACTGTCTTGGCAATCTTTCGTTGCGGGAGCGGGCCCGGGCAGTCCCGGGAGCCCCGGGACCCCCAATCCCCCCATGGGGGGGGTACGGCAACGGCTTGCCCCCCTCCCCAGGCCTGGGGCCGAATCGGCCGAACCAGGACGGTCTGGGCGTCCTCTGGGGCTGCCGTGCAGCGTGGGGATGCAGAACAGGCTGCATCGAGAAAACGTTGAAAAAACTATTGGAAAACCAAGTGTTTGAGCTTTGGGGAGCTCTCTTGGAGGCCACTGGGAGGCCTGTGGGAGACCGGGGGCACCAGGCGGGAGCAGCCCCTGGAGCTCCCTGCAACCTCTTGGAGCTTTGTTGGCTCTGGGTCGCCGAAACCTTATAAAAAAAAACACATGGAAAATAAGGCCCCGGGCCCCCCATGCGCCGCCGAGGTCCCTGGGCGGGACCCCCCCGGCCACGTCCCCCGTAGATGCATGTCTAAATAGATGTGTGCAGACTGATATGTTACTCGGCTGTCTTGCGCTGCACGGATGAGACGTTGAGTTCGCAGCGTGGAACGGCTGCCGCAAAAAACGGAACAGCAAATGATCAGCACGGAGGCGTCACCTGGGGCGCCTCCTCCGTCAACATCCGCCCCTTTGGCGCGGCAGCCTCGCTCACACACACAAAGCTTCTGGCTGGCCAGGGGAGCCCTCGATTGGGCCCACAGGGCAGGCCGGATGGCGGGCCCTGGAAACCCTGAACCCCGAAAAAACGTATCTCTTGGGGGAACGGTCTTGGCCCTTGGCTTCCGCCAGCTTCTGCCAGCCTTCCGCTGGCTTCCGTCAGCGGAGCCGCCCCCTTTGTGCCTCCGCCAGTTTCCGCCGGCCAGGGAAGAAAAACCAGCCCCTTCGATTCATCAAAGGCGAGGCCCTAAAACCTCATATGGTGCCTGCGCAATGTTTCTCGTGCGTCAGTCCATGTCCAGTTTCAGGTTCTGCCAGCGGCACCAGACACCCTGAGCGAAGTCACCCACACCCGAAAAGTCGCCTTGCTTAGGCCCCGCACCGTTAAGCCATCAGAGGCCTCTGGCAGACCTCAGAGGCCCATTGAGGCTCCTTGAGCACCTAGGTGGTCCCTGTAAGCATTGCCAATCCCTTCCTGGAAGTCTAACCTCACAGGGAGCAACAAGATCTCGTGATATAGGACACTTGGGGGAGCGTGCATAATCGATCTTGAACCTTGCAAGATGCCCCAGAATTCCAACGGGTCACTGACGCCCTCGAGGAATGAGAAGTGCCTCTGAGGCACCTGCTGGGAGGCCAGTTTCTCATGTCACGCGGCTGCGGCAGGTTCGTGTCGAGCCGTCGTCGGCGTTGGTCTCTGACACCGCGCGGCTCGCTCTTCCTTGAGCGATCGCGGCGTCCCGACAGCGCAGACCGTTCGATATCGGCACATTCTGGGCCACTGGCGGCGTTCAGACTTGAACACCGCGCCGGCTGCCACGCCAACGCAGCGCGAACCTGCCGCAGTGGACTACCCCTGGACAACGAGGCGACAGCTGAATACACTCCAGTCCCGCCCCTGAGTGCGGGGGGGGGGGGCACCACTTGACCTCCGCGAAGGCAGGTCCTGCGCCACGGCGGTCTCACCCATAGCTCTACAGTGGGCCAAGCGGTGTCTTCACCGCCGTCCTCCTCCTCGTCTCCCTCCTACTCCTCCTCATCATCCTCCCGCTCCTGAACCTCATCTGCATCCTCCTTCACCCACTCCTCCTCTTCATTATCCTTTTCCTTTTCCTTTCCTCCTCCTCCTTCCACCGGAACCAATGCTGGGCCACCTCAGACCCCCAGCCAGCTCCAACTCTCCACTATCCCCTGCCCCGCCCATCCCGCGCCGCCCCCCCCTCCTGGGAGCCCTTCCTGGCGGGCCCCTGCGGGCCTCCTGCACGCGGACCTCCGCTCGCAGGAGGAGCCGCCCAATGCGGACCCCTCCCTCCACGGGCTGCTTTGCAGGAGGCCTCATCTGGCGACGTCACCGGGCCAGTTTCCCCCCCCCCCTCCCTCCCGCCCCCCCGCCCCCCGTTCGGCTACACGCAGGAGCGACCCTGGGTGAGAGTGAACTTTGGTGCGCGGCTCTTGGGGAGCCGCGGGGGAACCGAGGCGCGCAAGACACTACCGTCGCACCGCCCTCGGCGCTCAGGGGGCCCCGGTGGGCTGGTACCAGAGGTCACTCTGGGCAAAGGGCCACTCGCGTCGAGTCGACCATCCCGCCTCGCCCCCTCCCCAGACCCCTGACACCCATGATTCTTTCAGAGCGTCGGCCCCCCGAGGTCTCGACCCAGTCCGTGGGACCGGTTTTGTCATCCCGAGTCGTTCTTTGACGGTCCCGGGGCCCAGGAAAGGCCCCCGGAGGCCGAAAATGGGGAAAAGCCGCCCGTCGTGCTTCTGCTCCACAGCGCGAGGGGGCCTGGGCCTGGTCGGCCATCCCGCCCCGCCCCCCTCCCTGGTCCTCCGCGCAGCAGCCACGCCTCGTCCTGCCGCATCGAGAAGGGGCTCGCCAGCGGCCGCTCTATCGGGCTGGCGCCCGTGGTCGCCCAGGCCGCCCCTTCCGAGGCCGAGGGGGCGGCCCTCGCGGGGTCCATCCACGGGGAGGGGCGCCATTGGCCGAGCGCACCGAGAGCGCTGCGGTGGGAAGAAAAATCGACTGCACGCAAGAGCTCGGCGGCGGAGGGCAAGGGGGGGAAAATGAGTAGCAGGAGGCCTTCTCAGAAGGCGGCGGGGCTTCTCAGGGGCCCTCGCGCCTTCCGAGAAGTTGTCGCTTGTCCTCGGGGGCGGCTCAGAACACTTCTCAGAAGGCCAGGGGACTGCCGAACCTTCTGAGGAGGCCTCTCCGTCTCACTTCCCGCCCTCGCTCGCCGCCGAAGAGAGAGTAGCCCTAGGAAAGAGTGTCCTTTGGTGCGCGGCTTCAGGGGGCCGCGGGTACAGTCGGACCTAGGACAGAAGAGCATCCTCCAAGAACATGAGACCCTCCGTCGGCCGGAACAGACAGGACATTCAAGAGTACCCTCCCCAGGCTGCACAAGACCATCCAACAAACACGAAGAGCACTGGGGTACCCTCCCCGAACCGACCTCGATCTCTATGCCTCGGTCCGACTGTACACGCAAGAGTGGCCCTGGGAAAGAGAGGCCTTTGTTGCGCGGCTTCAGGGGGCCGCGGGTAGGCCACATCCAGGCGCGCAGGCCAATGATGGGGGAAGCCCTGTGGACCCGCACCAAAGGTCACTCCGGCGAAGGGTCCTTCTCACGTGCAGTCGAGAACAAAAGTACGGCCAGGAACGTTTGCTCAGCGTGTCGCGGCGGCGGCCACGGCGGCACGCTATGCCCTGCGAGCGGATAGATCGTCACTCCGCTCCGCGGGGCGGAAGGCTCGGGAAAGCTCGGGACGTTGACGCCGTTGGTCCGTGAAGTGGATAGCGTGTCGCACCGAGGCGCGGTGGGCCAGAGCCGACGCCGGGACACGCCATCCAGAAGTTCCCGACCACATGCGCATACACCGATCCTGAACAGGATGGGCCTGGACAGGGTCGGCGTATGTGCACAGTTCGCTTCGATCGAATCGGACGCAGCAGGGATTAGTAAAGGCGTGGTTAGCGAATCAGCTCTGTTTTTCCATGCGCCGGAGGCGCCAGAGCATGGAGGAAAGCGCCCGGCGGGTGCGCGGAGACCAGCTGCCTGCAGCAGATTTCCTGACGATTTCCTCGCACCCCCCCCGCGTCCGACCCCACTTCGCCCAAACGTCGGGCCCTCCCGCCCCAGGAGCCATCCCCTCGCCACCAGTGGGGAGACCAAAAGGTACTGATGCCGCTGCTCCCCGGACTTCTCCTAGGATTTCGAGGCGAATCCAGCGGTGACGACGACGGAGGCCCAGGAGGCCCAGAAAGAGGAAAACGAGGGGAGGGTAGAGGTAGGCGTACATGTTCCTCCTCCGAACCAGGTCAGCACACGCCCCTCTCGACTACACGCAAGAGTGACCCTGGGCAAGAGCGACCTTTGGTGCGCGGCTTTTTGGGGACCGCGGGGGGACCAAACACAAGCGCACAAGACGCTACTATCGCATCGCGTTTGGCGACCGGGGGAACCCATTTGGCCCGCACCAAAGGTCACTCCGGTCCAAGGTCACTCGTACGTCTAGTCAACCCTCCCCTGCCACTAGGGCGAGCACCCCCCGAGCAGGGCGCGAGAAGCCCCCGCGCGACCGGCACGGCTGGGCAGCTCGGGGAGGCGAGCGCTTCCATGACGCCAGCCTCCGCCAGCGGAGCCGCCCTCGTTTGGCTTCCGCCGGCGTCCGCTCTGGGGGACCACATGCGAACCCGACCCCTACCCCCCACGGAGGAGGAGGAGGAGGAGGAGGAGGAGGAGGGGAGGAGGAGGAGGAGGAGGAGGAGGAGGAGGAGGAGGAGGAGGAGGAGGAGGAGGAGGAGGAGGAGGAGGAGGGGAGGAGGAGGAGGAGGAGGAGGAGGAGGGGGAGGAGGAGGAGGGGGAGGAGGAGGAGGGGGAGGGGGAGGGGGGGGTCACTTCGTTCGGGAGCTCCCAGGGCGAAGTGAACCCCACCCTCCCCCCTCGGAAATCGTGGGGGGCAGGGGTCGGGTTTTCAAACGTGGCCCTCATAAGCCCACCTGCCGCCGCCTGCCGCCGACGCGGGGAGGGCCAGCTCGCTCGGTCCTCGTGAGGCGAGGCCCTCTCTGGAGCGTCCCACGCTTATCCGCGCTCAGCAGCACGGCGTGACAGAGAACTAGAAGGCCCAGAGAGAGAGAGAGACAGAGCATGGCATTTGAAAAGGATTGCGCGCGTTGCCAGAGCGAGAGCAAAACCAAAACACAGACCAACAGCAACAAACCACCACCACCATCGACAACAACAACAATAACAACAATACCAACAACAACAACAACAACAACAACAACATCAACAACAACAACAACAGCAACAACAACAACAACAACTACAACAACAACACCAGCAACAACATCAACAACAACAACAACAACGACAACAACAAAAACAACGACAACAACAGCAACAACAACAACGACAACAACAACAACAACAACAACAGCAGCAACAACAGCAACAACAGCAACAAAACGTTGGCCTTGATTGTACGTCCCAAGATTTGCAGTGCGGATCTCAAGACGCAAGGAAGCTTCGGGCGGCATGTGCTCCGTTGTCTGAAATTCGAAACCTGAGTGTTGAAAACGCGTGTTCAAGCGAGAGCCTGAAGTTGGCTACGGCCACCCAATCCGTGTGATTTGTGGAGGGTATTAATCCGCGTTGCGACTACTGGGTGCGCGGCGACAAGGCGAGATCTCCATTCCGAAAAAGACTCGCCCTCCATGCCGTTCGCCGATGGAAGCTTGTAGGACGACTGTGCGTGGCGCGCAGGCGGAGGCAACATACTGAAAGCGAGCTATACTCAATCCATGCATCGGTTGAGCACATCTTAGACATATCTGCGCAGCGCGAAAACGAGACACAATTCGAAATCGGACGATGATCCATCCGTGCACCGTGCAGCCGACGGACGGTTTTAAGACGATTGTTCGCAGCACTAAACTAAAGCCATAAACAAATGTTGGAAAGTAGCCCTGCCTGGACTACGGAAACGCCTGGTTGCGCGATAAGAAACTACTTGCACGCAAGAGGGACCACGACGACGAGGGGCCGACAATAAACAAGCGACAGCAGCCGGTGAGAAGGTCGACTGCTCCTGGGACCCCGCGGCCATCTGAGGGACCAGGCAACCACGGGTCTGGGCATGTCCAGCAGGCTGCGCGCGCACAGAGCCCCGTAGTCGAAGCGCTCTATGAACATCTTCTCCTGAGAAGAACATGCAATCCATCAACACAAACTACTTTCGACGGTCCGCGCGGACTTCTCGGATCTGCGCTGTCACCTCCCTCCCAGGGGGGGGGCCAACGCAAATCCAAGAAATCCGCGCGGAGTTCCGGAAGTATATGTGTATGCCGTTTTTTGTTCTTCGACTCCTCCTGCACCATCCCGTAGCTCATCCAACCTCGCGGGCGGTAAGCAGGAGAGCCCAGAATCGGCGGACATCGGCAGCCGAGTCGGAGCAGTCGAATCGGCGGAAATTGGCAGGCGAATTGTTCTCTAGTGAGAAATCGGAATCCACAGCGGAATCCGAAGTCGCATCGAATCGGAACAAGAATCCATCGAAATCGAAGCGAATCCAATAGGAGAAATCGAAACGAGCCCTAATAAGCCGCGAGGTAACGATACCGCTCCTCCCCGGACCTCTCGCCGGGCGTGTTCTGGCCAGAATGTCGAGGCGAGTCCTGCGGTGGTGACGAGGGCCGCCCAGGAGGCCCAAAAAAGGCGAAGACGAGGCAAGGCCTCCCCAGACCTCTCGCCGGGTGTGTTCTGGCCAGAATGTCGAGGCGAGTCCAGACGAGGGCCGCCTGGGAGGCCCAAAAAGGGCGAAGACGAGGCAAGGGTCGCAGTAGGTCTGGCATGTCACCCCACAGGCGGATTCTCGACGAAAAATAAAACATAGTCAAAAAGAGACTAACACATACTCCAAAAATTGTGGAAAAATCGTCCCCAGGTTTACTATGTTTGAACACTCCTCCTGTAGAGGGACACGCCCGACTGAAGGGCATCACCTCTCCCTGCACCATCCCGTAGCTCAGCCAACCTCGCGGGCGGGAAGCACGCCCGCAGCCACGGCCTCGTCGCCCCGCCTCCTCGGTCTTTGGGGTTGCTCGGGTGGGGGGCGGAGCTCTGTGCGGATGCCCCGAGGGCGGCGGCACGCACGCGCGGGATCGCGCGTCCGTGGGCTCGCAACACGGAGTCCAGACCGCGGGGGCAGGAGTACGGTGGGGGCATTGGATAGGGAACCCTTGGATAAGGGAGCCAGTGTCTGGAAGCTGGCGGAACTCCAATCGAGGCTCGGCCGCCCTCATCAGATAAGGAACCCCCCAGGGTCTGAAGCCTCCTGGGCACGTTCCTGAACGAACGCCCCCACCGTATGGGACGCACAAGGGCTGGAGATCGTTTCCCGAGCGGTACGGTCAGCAATCGCCCGCCAAAGAGCGCCTACTGTAAGATGCCTCGAGGCGCGCGTCGCCCCTTGGGGGGCGACGCACACACACACACACACACACACACACACACACACACACAGATTATTAGTATTAGTATTAGCATTATTATTCGTATTATTATTATTACTATTATTAGTAGTATTATCGCTATTATTGGTAAGTTTATTTTACTATTATTATTAGCATGATGGGATGACGCCGAATGGATACGGACATGCTCGAGACGCGTGACTGGGGAAACCAAACGATCCTGATACCATTAGTACCTGGACCTCTCCCAAGTTGCGCTATGACCAGAGTTTCGAGGCGAACCTGGCCGTAGCGACGGGGACCTCCCGGGAAGCCCAGAAAGGCGACAACGAGGAAGGGCAGCGGTATCGGTAACCTTTCCTCCTCTGAGTGGCAACCGCCGCCGAGGCGCTTGTTGGCGAAGTCGACTATGCAGGCTTCCCGCTTCTCGTCGAAGACTCCCGACACCACGGCTGGCAGCCGGGTCACAAGCGCGCTGCGGCACCGCTGCCGGAAGACGTCCTCGTCGCCCAGGCGGTAGAGCGCCGCCTCGACGGGGGCACGCGCCACGTAGTCTCTGCAGCCGTCCACGAAGTGCTGGCGAATGTGCTCCAGCACTTCCTCCTGCACGAGGTTCTCGGTGCGGGTGAAGTACGCCCCCTTGTGGATCTCCGTGGCCCTCCTCCAGTTCTCCTTCGTCGCCCAAGCCCGAAGGCGTTCGTGCGTCTCCTGGAAGAGCGCCACCCGGACAACGCCAGTCTGCCCCAGGGGCTCGGCCCTGGTTTCGTCGATGCCCACTCGTGTCCCGATCCCGCCGCCGAAGCGGTCGCCATCATAGGACCCGTAGTAGTGATGCGCCTTCTCCGTCTGGCACCGCGGCAGCACCCTTTCTGGGGGAACAGGCAGATAGCGACACAGGGGCCTCTGGGCTTCTCCGCGGGCGCGCTCTGACCATGACTCCAAGGCGGGTCCAGCCGTGGTAAGGAGGGCCCCCTAAGAGTAGATGCTCGTCCCAGGGACCTTCGCACCGATATCTCGATTCATGCATCGATGCTGCGTCGAACGTTCGTCGACTAGAGTCGGATTGGAGGCGAGCTAGAGTCGAGTTAGGGTTGAGCTGGGGTCGAACTAGAGTCGAACTGGAGGTCGAAGTTGAACCGCCAGGTGGGCCCTGGAAGGTCCCCGAAACGAGCATCGGACCAGGTCCAAAAATGCGAGGGCGGGGAAAAGGCGTCGGCACCGGTTGCCCTCCTCTGAGCCTCCGCTTGCTCCCGGTGCCTCTGCCAGAAGAAGCAGCAAACGGCCTCATCATAAACTGTTGGCGCTCCGCGCGGACTCCCTGGATCTGCGCTGGACCCCCCTCCCTGGCGCGCGGAGCGCGCCAGGGGGAGGCGCTGAAGGCGCCGCCAGGGGGCTCCAGCGCGGATCCAAGAAATCCGCGCGGAGCGCCAAAAATTCATGTCCATGGCCATTTTTGCTCTTCGATCTGCCACCGGCGCACAGCGCGCCCGCGGGAGCGAGCGCCTGTGCGCAGAGGCGCGCGGCCGCCACGCCTGCGGCGCGCATGGGCAGCGGCCGCCTGCGCGCAGCGGGAACGGGGCTTGGCCGTTTGGCTTTGGGCGGCATGTGAGCGACGAAAGAAAAAGGGGCTTCCGTACCCCACGAAAATATGTCCAGAGACACCCTCCGACGAATTTTGCATGTACCTTCCGGGAGGCGGGCATAAAGTCGCTGGCTCTCAATGGCAATGCACAATTACACCGCCGCCCTCCCCAGAGGCCCAGAGACAATCCATTGGAGGGTGTCTGTGTATATACTTTTGGTGGCGGATTACGCGAGCTGGCATAGCGATCCTACGCCGCGGCTCACGCCAGCCGCAGGCGCGGCACGCCAGTGGAAACGAGCGCGCCTGCGCGCGACCTTGGCTACGCTGACAGCTTGCTCGCGAATGCCGGCGCAGACGGCCCCGATTTCCTGCGTCGCCCCTTTGACTCGAGCCGGCTGCCGCCGCGAGTGCGCGGCCGCTACCCGTGCGCCTCGGTGCGCGGGAGAGCAGCAGCGGAAGACCTGCTTCGGCGCAGCGCTGGCGGACGCACGGCGCGACCCCAGCCCGCGCGGGCCGCTGCGGAGCGAGCAACAGCACACAGCACAGCACGACCACGTTCGGTGACCCATGCATGTTTTCCGGGTCGGCGCTGGATCTCTCCTCCCCCTCTCCCGGCGGCGCCTCCAGCGACGCCCCGGGCGCGCCCGTCACCCTCAGCCGCCTCGTCCTTCTCCTTTTCCCCCCCCCGGGGGAGGGGGAGCAATGCGACGTGATAGTGTCCCTCACAAAGGCAAGAGCGGGATTTCTCTGGCCATCGCGCAGCTTCGCATTGCCCATAGGCACGATTACGAACCGAAGCAAAGATTCGACTTGCAGGTTGGGGGCACTCCGTTTCACTTCTGTCTCATGTCCATCTTGCGATGTTCGATACGTTGTGAGAACCTCTCCAAAACGTTTCCCGTGGCAAAGAGATTCGGCACGGCCACATCGTGACAAGCCCCTGCATGCCCCACAATCACCTTAAAGCCACCTCGTACCTACCCGGCGAATGCAGAAATCCTGAACTTGGAAGACGCATGACGCTCTTGAGTAACAGCTCAAACATACAATTTTAGCTCATGGATGACCTGCATATTGTTCATACGCTTCGGCACTACATACCTACAGAACCACCCTTCGTGTAATCAGGAGTATTGGGGGGCGATGAGTGCAACTTTCGGTTTTCAGTTGGCGCCCGGTCGGACAAAAACTATATACCCGCCACCGTGCCTGCGGCACGTTGAAGCGCGAAATTCGCCGGCCCAACGGGCCAGAGGCGTGCTAAGATCTCCGGTAACTGGTTAACAATTGTATTGTACTAGTTCGCGCGCGCGGGGCGGCCCCTGGGGGTCCCCCGGCGAAAAGTACCCCGCCCGCCGCCTGGCAAGGTCCCGCCCGGTTCAACTCAGAGATGGTTTTCCTTCTGGGTGCGGCCTCTCAGGCCGCCCTGAGCGCGCCAAGAGTGCCCCAAGAGGCCCCCAAGACTGCCCAAGAGGCCCCCGAGACGCCCAAAGAGCGCTCGAAGACGCCGAAGATGACCCCAAGACGGCCCAAAAGGCCCCCAAGACAGCCCAAGAGGCCTCCAAGACGCCCCAAGAGCCTTCCAAGAGGCCTCCGAAGAGAGCCCCAAGAGGCCAAAATCGTTGATTTTCATTGTTTTTTTCGATGTTTTTTGTGTTCTGGCTTTTTCGGCTTCCGGACGCTCCAAGACGGCCCAAGAGGCCCCCAAGACCGCTCCAAGACGGCCCACGAGGCTCCCAAGACGGCCCCGGAACGGCCCAGGAGGGCCCCCAAGACGGCCCAAGTGCCGCCCAAGACGGACCAAGAGGCCCCAAGACGGGCCCAAGAGGGGCTCAAGAGGGGAACCGAGAACTGAAAAATCGAGCCCTCCGCCCCAGAAGGCGCCCAGGAGGCCCCAAAAAGGCCCCAAGAGGCCCCCAAGAGGCCCCCAAGACGCCCCAAGAGGCGCCCAAGAGGCCCAAAAGAGGCCCCAAGAGGCCCCAAAACGGCCCCCAAAACTCGGCTAGCCCACAACGGTGCGACAATATGGGCCGGCGGAATGAGCGAAGCGATTAAATAATGCCAAGCGGCACCTGACAGGGTTTCTGTAGTCTTCGAATGGACACCCCCACACGCCTGATCACGCTCGCCCGACTGAACCACCCCTACTCGCAGGGGTCCCTGGGCGGCCATGGCGCCTCCCTGGGGCTCCAAATGATTTTCACGACGGCCCAGGAGGCCCGCAAGACGTCCAAGAGGGCCCCGAGTCGCCGAACAACCGCTCGAAGACGCTCAAGGTGGTCTCAAAATGGTGTCATGGCGCCGAGAGCCCATCCCCCTTGCCCCGCGCCGCCCGCCGCCCGGGGGACGGCCCTGTCCAAACCTCAGACGCCGACAGAACGAACCCGCCCATCGGTGGTCACCAGAACACACGAATGTACTGGAAACTGACTTCGGACTCAAGTGGTCACTCGAAATTCGTCAGCACCGCCGCCAAAATATATGACTGTTTCTCTCCCCGCTTGAACCCCCCAGTTCTTCTAGCCGACGCTCACCAGAGGTTTGTCACAGAGCGGTGGCCTCTCGGGCCGAAAACGGAGCAGATGAGTTCCACTGAACTTCCTGCCCCGTCTTGCCTCTCGCCAGCGCCGCCAGCCCCGAGCGGCCGATTTTCCCCCCGGAACCCGAGGCAGGGCCCTCGGAGGCCTTTGAATCCAGAAACCCTCCACGGGACACCAGACCGAGACCAGAGAAGGGCCGCCAGCAGCCCGACGGGAAGAGAGGCGCTGGGTGAGGCAAGGCGTGACTGAGAGGGCAACGAAACTCCCGAGAGCGCTCTTCCTCCAATCAGGGTGGCTCGAGGGTGAGAGCACAAAGCTTCGGACGAGGCGGCGCGCGTCGCAAGCAGACTGGGGGGTGAGCGCGGCACGAAACAACACACATTAGGAACATGATATTATGTTTTTCCCCCCGTTTGAACCCCCCAGTTCTTTTAGCCGCCGCTCACCAGAGGTTTGTCACAGAGCGGTGGCCTCTCGGGCCGAAAACGGAGCAGATGAGTTCCACTGAACTTCCTGCCCCGTCTTGCCTCTCGCCAGCGCCGCCAGCCCCGAGCGGCCGATTTTCCCCCCGGAACCCGAGGCAGGGCCCTCGGAGGCCTTTGAATCCAGAAACCCTCCACGGGACACCAGACCGAGACCAGAGAAGGGCCGCCAGCAGCCCGAAGGGAAGAAAGGCGCTGGGCGAGGCATGGCGTGACTGAGAGGGCAACGAAACTCCCGAGAGCGCTCTTCCACGACTCCCTCTCTGGCTGTGCCGAAAAAAACCTAGGCCACATCGTAGGCCAGCAAATTGCCAAGATAACAAAGTCTCTGATGGCATGCTGGCGAGAACTGCATCTCTGAAAGGGCCTGCTGACCTTCTGCTATGTATATACGAGCAGTGGCTGAATCCTGCCATCTCCCCTTCTCAAGGGTGGCAGGCATATTACGAGTTCTCACAAAATACGATGTGGCCCCCCCTCGTCTGAGACTGTAAGGTCGGAACTGAAATTGCTGGCATTCGAGGGCAGTGCACAACTGCTCAAACTTGTCACGAAATTCACTGATGCTCGAGTTGGGAATGAGAGCTTCAGGACTCAGATGGCGAAGCAAGAAACTGGCGAGCTGCACAACTGACGGGTCATCGATCACCACTGACCCCTGCCGATGGTACCGCAAGCCACTTTTTGTGATCGGAAGAATGATCACTATCTTGGCGCGAGCCTCATCGATAGCTATCTGCCACCGGCGCAGCGTCAGCATCTCGGTGGTCCTCAGGAAGCCTGCGAAGCCCAGCACGAGCAGCACTGCGATGTCATCACGGCCCCAGCCCCTCGCCGTGGCCGCCATCGCCAGCAGGACCACCTCGGGCAATGGCAGGACGCGCTGCGGCAGCTCGAGGTTCTGCCAAGCTCGCAGCAGTCGCCAAGAGGCTGGCAGGATCCGCTTCTTCCGCAAGAAGAACTGAACTGCCGACAAAGCGTTGCCCGCCAGGCCTTGCGGGTGGCCCTCGGTCCGGAGCCACTCGATCCACTCGGCCACGAGGAGGTCAAGCTTGTCAACGTGATCTGAAGCACCCGTCCAAGTCAAGCCTCGGCTCGCAACCCAATCTGAGAACTGTCTAACTGCATCGCGGTAGAGATCGAGCGTCCGCGGCTGCAACAGATTGCGAGAGAGGCGCCCCACAGCAGCTCGAAGGTGTCGACGTGTGGCCTGATCTGCTGCCGCTCGCACGCGGCGAAGTCTACGCACTGGCATCTGGCGGCCGCGCAGACCTCGCCGCCGCCCGCGATGGATTATCGGCCGGGTTGCGGTCGGTCTCTGTGTAACCGTGCACGGGGCGAGCCAGAGCAGCCAAGATCAAGGCACCAATGCGTCGAACTGATGCATGCAGTAGATAAGAAGATGAGCGACCACGAGTGATCACTCCCAAACCTGCCTGAAAATCCATCAAGTGACAGAACCGCGTACGTAAATGATGAGAGGAACGAAATCTCCATCTGAGAGCCCCCAGCGTCGCTCGCACCTCGAGGTCCGTGATGTGTGAAGGTCTCTCCCACTCCCAGATGGCGGTCGCGCGCCAGGTCCAGCGGGCCACGCTGATCGGCCTCCTGGGCCACAGATCTGGCCGCATCGCCTCGAAGGTGTCCAGCCTGACAGCCTGATGTCGCTGCCACGTGCCTCAGCCCGACGCGCCAGCTCCTCCACGATCACGGCGCTCGGGTCCAGCGCCGCGTCCGGCTCCTCCAGGTTGTGCTGCCTGATGGGCACGCCCTCATCGTGGTTGACGTCGTCGAGGGTGACGCTGGCATCCTCGATCGCGGCGCCGCCACCTAAGTCGCGCATCTCCACCACCGAGGGAACGGCGTGCAAGTACCCAAACTTCACCGCCCAGTGCGACAGGATCCACGCCACCACCACGCACTGGAAGCTGTTGCCCAGCAGGGAGCAGCGAGTCGCCTCCAGCTCGTGCTTCTCCAGCTTTCTGGCCCTGGTGACCCGAGCTGTGATGGTGTGCCCTGGCAAGAAATCAAGAAGCAGCTCTCTCTCCACGCTGTTGGGTGGTCTGAACACATTATTGGGCTCCTCGATGCAGTTCTCGTTCTTAAACTGGTATGGCGCATAGCAGTACTCGAAATCTCGCCATCTCTGAAGCTCCTCCTCAGAGCAACGTTGCAGCCCAGTAGGAAACTTCCCAGGTGCGCGCCGAGGAATTCATCGCAAGAATGTTGGCAACCGAAACTGCTCATCCGCGTCTCCCGCCCACTTGAGATCCTGGCTCAGCCAGCGCCTCACCGGGCCAGGACCCCCAAGCACATGGATCATCTTGACGCCCTCGGAGACGGAGACGTCGCCTTGCCACTCGCACAGCAGGTTCTCGTCGATCCAGTACAAGCGGTCGCGATAGCAGTGCGTGATGCAGCTAGCTTCGACACGAACTGGCTGGTGACCGAGGCGCTCGCTCATAACGTTGCGCAGCTCGACGTCCATCGAGGCCACGTTCTCGATCAAAGTCACGAGCCGACAGAACTCACCCAGCACTTCCTCTAAGAGAAGACGGGCGCGGGTGATCTCAAAGAACAGCTTAGAGCGCCTCCCCTGAAGCCCGACGCGCTCCACGTTGATGCGAGCGAGGTCGGTGCACGGGCTTCCGCCGATGAGGAGGATCCACTTGATGTGGGGCGCGCGGTCTCTGATCGCCATCGCCTCAGCGTACCCGAAGGACTGCGCGTCGCCAACCTCCAGCACCTCGGGCCACGCGTACTTGGTCACCCGCTTGGCCACGGCATCGATCTCCGCGGACACGAACAGCGCCGGGGCGAGACCCAAGAGGCCCAAGGCCCTGCGAGCCCCTCCTATCCCATCGAAAAGGGACACCAGCACCACCTCGTCGCGGAAGTCCGTCACGAGCCTCCTGCTCGCTGCTCTTGCCGCTGCGACTCCATCTCGCCGAAGAAGAACGGAACGGCAGACGGCGCCCCTCTGCATGCTGGCGTCGGACACCGTCACCAGACCGCTGATGGGCACGCGTAGGTCGCAGCGCAGTAGTGGCAGCAGCGTCCGAGCCGCGATGAGCTCCTCGCGGACCTTGGCAGGCAAAGAAGCCTGGCCCTTGATGCGGACCAAGAATCGCCACAACTCGGTGAAGCACATCATCGCCTCCCTCCTGAAGAGCAGACAACGCACCCAGCGGCCCGCCAAGATCTGCATCCACTTCTGCGCGACGACCTTCCTCCTAAGCGTCTCGATGGTGAGAGAGACCAAACGCTGCACAAACTGGGCGGGGGGCACGATGGTGCCCTGAGCCCCGTCGATCGCCTCCCCCAAGGACTGCGACTTCACCTCCCTGATGACGGCCTTGTTCTCGCTCCGAGGCACCCCGAAGCTCTGGTACCTCTCTCTCGCTACCTGGGCCAGCTCGCCCACGCCCTTCTCCTGGAGCTGGTTCGCCTGCCACCAGTCGGTGATCTCGAGCACGTCAAGGTTGTCGATGTAGACCTGCCACGCGCGCCACACCGACATCGAGCCGAATCTGTCCTTCCACGCCTTGATCAGCACGTCGCCGTGGCAAGCTTGCGAACACCTGCAGTGGCAAAGACGGCGGGCGCCGTTTAGTGATGCCAGGTCCCTCAGCCGCTGAGGGCTCTCGTGCAGGTACTGCTCGTACAAGGTGATCACCTCTTGACGCGACCAGCCCTCGTTCATGCGGTACGGGTTGCCCCAGGTGGACGCCTCCAGATTCAGCTTCGAGGAGCCGCGGCCGATGTAGATCTCGGGTTTGCCATCGTCGTAGGCACCGCCGACCTGACCCCGAACAGGGGCCACAGCTCCACCGTCAAGGTAAGCACGACGCGCAGGCGGCATGGGAGCATCTTTGCGAAGCTCCTCGCAAGCAGCCAGCTGTTGGAGTCGAGGATGCCACGATCGAAGCAGACGGCGATGGATGCGTTGAATTACTCCTGTCGCTGAGATCCAGCCCACGGGGACCACCACGGCCGCCAGATATGTCAGCCCCGCGCCAGGTAGACCGACAGCGGCCCGCCGCACCGGCTTGGAGATGGCCATGTACTTCAACCAGGCGTCGCACAGGCTGTACACATAGAAGCAGCACTTCAGGTCCTCCGCGCTCCAGAGCAAGACCTCCCCTGAGCGCAACACTATACTTTACCTCTTGCCGCTGTGAGGGAGCAAGGGCATATCCCCCTCTATGGCGCGCTGAATCAAGTTGGACGGGATGATGTTCATCACCAATCTCTGGGGGCCCTCGCCCCTCACGTGGGAGCCCTTCTTCACGCCGAACATGCCGCCCATGATCTTCTGGCCTCTAACCTCCGCGATCTCTTCGTACTCGATGGGCTTCAAGATGCCGCGCGTGACGAGGTCGCCTCCGATCAGCTCCCACTCTGAGTTGGAGGCCCACGCCTTGGGCGTCGGCGGCAGGTCTCCAATCTCCTCGACATTTTTCAGGATGAGCCTGGGGTCAGACAGCGCCGCCTGGATCCAGCCCTCGGCGACGTCTACCGCTTTGACCGCTGCGCAGGCATCGATCGGCGGCAGCGCCTCCAGTAACCTCGACCTGTCGAGCGGCTCGGCTGGGAAGACCTCCTCGCCATCATGCGAGGTCGCCGCCGCTGTCAGCTCCGACTCCCAATCCACGATGGGTATCGTCCCCGAGCACTGATCACATAACACCCGGACCTCGTACAGCAAGTTGCTATGCGCCTGACGCTGCACGGCACTCGGTGGCGCCTCAAGGGCGGCCGACCAGCTGCGCGCGTAGTGGTAGTTGAGGCCCGTCACGATGGCGTGCACCCAGTTCAGCTCAGCCTCCGTGCCCTCGGCCCGCAAGCCGCTCTCCTCTGCGCGATCTCCACGACCCAGAGGAGCGGCCCGAATGTTGAACGCGATCGGGAGAGGAAGTAGATCTCGTCTCTCTCGTCGACCATTCGGTGGTGAGCGTCGTGAACCATCAGAAAGATCAGGGACGCTATCAAGTTCGTCTCGGAGACTCCGAAGATTATGATGAGGTAGAGCTGGCACAGCGTCGGAGGGTGTACGTCGAGAGGCCGGGTGTGAGCAGTCGCCAACCACACTACAATCGGAAGAACGTCGACGAGCCGAATATGAATCTGCATGCTTCGGAACGGCATCGGGTGTACATTCAGGAGCCAGTAAAGGTGCACTATCAGCGTCTGCAACATCGGGTATACGTTGAGGAGCCAGGTGTGACAAAGCGATCTTCTGAATAATCGGGTAAACGTGTCAGGGCGCGGTGCAACGCACGGCTAATCTCTCGCAGTAAACAGTCCCCAAAGAGCTCCAGCGGAGAGCCAGAAAAAAGGGCTGATGAACAAGGTATTGAATTCATGAAATCATTCTTTGCGCCCAAGTGGACGTCATGCTCCACGTCATGCATGTTGGAGAAGAAAGAAGGGGAGGGCTCCTCGAAGGCGTCGGCATCCAAAGTGGTAGACCTGCCAGACTCGCCTTCACTGGAGTTCACTTCGATCACAGAGCGCGGGCTCATCGACGGTCCTTGCCCTTCGACTTGCCCTTCGACCTCTGCGACTTCCCCTTGCCGAGGCGCTTCCCAGGTTTGCCCTTGCCTGGTTTGCCTTTGCCTCGGCCCTTGGACTTCATGCTCTTGCCGCCCTTGGGGTTCCTCGAAGGGCTCTGATTCGATCTCCGCGTCGGCGACTTCGAGCTCGCTCGCCTCTCCGAGTCCCCCGCGAAGTGAACTCGCCGAGCTGGGGGGGGGGCGGCCTGGCATTGCCCTGCTGCGGTGGGCGAAGAATCGGCCGCCTGTCGGGACCCGGGCTGACTCCTCCGCGAGGAATCCCGCGCGGTGATCCCGGCGCGGCGGCGGCAGGGGGCGGCGCTGCAGGCGGCGTGCCTGGCTGCGCTGGCCCCCCTGCGGCGGCGCCTGGGCTCGCGGGGGCGGCGCCAGCGGCTGCGCTCGCAGCTGCGGCTCGCCGCTTCTCCGCGCGCCAGCGTGACTTTCTCGAAACCTTCTCGCGGGAGAGCATGGAGGTGACCTTCTGGGGGCCGTTCTGGTTCTGGTTATTGCCAGGGGCTGCGGCTGCTGGCCTTTGAGAGGGGGGGTGTCCTGGGCTGCCCCCCCCCCCCCCTCGGCCTGACCCCCCTAGCAGACGTTGCCGCTGCCCTTCTTGGCCTTGGCCACGCTCTCTGCCAGGCCGTGCATCCTCCTGTGCTTGCTCACCGCGTCGTGCACCTCCTCCTGCCTCGCGAGCCCCACTCCCAGGTCGTCGCAAAGCTCGAGGTGCTGCGCCACCTGCCAGCGTCCGTCTCGCGTGGCTTGCTCGATCGCCTTCAGCCTCTGCATGAGGAGGTCTCCGAGATGGTCCAGTTCTCCTCGAAGCAGGGCGTCGAGGCACTCGCCGACTGTCCTCATCTCGCGCACGCTCCTCACTCCCATCTCGTTCTTAGGGTGGTGACCGTGCCAGACGCTGGTGATGTACTGCACCACTGATGTTGCTAGCTCGCCCAGGCTCTCTTGACCGTCCGCCCACCCGCGCCGCGCAATATACTTCTTGATATGTTCCATCCCGCTGGGGAGTAATGCACCAGGTACCTCTCGAGCTAGATGAGCAATCCTGCGGCCTGATTCGACGTGGGGGGCGCCGTCAAAAAGCGAGTCCTCGGAGCTGCTGCCACCTGAACCGTCACGACGTCGACGTCGGCCATGGCGTGCCTTTGCTCCCCGACAATGCAGCCTCGGCACGGTCCGTCAATGTCTCGCCGATGCTTCGCTTCTGATGCAGTCGCTTCTTGAGCTCCGCAATCTTCTTCTGCAGACCCCCGGGCGCGGGCTGAGCCGCAGGACTTCCAGGAGCGAAAGGGGCGGCAGCAGGGAGAGCAGCAGCGGGCGCGCCTGCAGCAGCTCCAGAGTTTGCACCGCCAGGCTGCTGAACCCAGGCCTCCGTCAAGCTGCTGGGCGAGCGCATGCGGTAGGTCTCCACGTGCAGCACCGACCTCTGAGGCCACTGGACCAGTCCAGCACACACACACACACCTGCCTGCTGCGTGCACAGGTGCAGCACCGCGCCTCCCAAGCTGGTGAAGCTACCAGCCAACATGGGCCACAAGGAAGCGCTGCTGCAGCCCATGAACGCCGCCTCCACGAAGCACCCCATGCCGTCGCCAGGCCACACACTCTGCACCTGAAAGAGTGCAGTCCCAGCCGCGCTCCCGAAGTTGTCCAGCGCCACGCCCTCCAACACGCATCCTGGAGCGAGGCCCAAGCGCTGGTAGGCCATCGGCGACGACGGGCCGTGCACCCAAGGGCCTGCTCCTCCTGGCGGGACCGCCGCCAGGTGGCAGGCCTGGCACTGCTCCAGCGGCGGCGCCGCCCGCGGGAGCGCCGTGACCCACGACAGCGGCCGCGCCACCGCCAGGACCTGGTGGTACAAGTCCTCCGGGCGCTGCCGCTCCACCAGGGACTCCGAGAGCTGCGGCGTGTGGTGGCACTGGAGCTCCAGCAGCGCCGTTGGCGGCGACTCCGAAGCCAGCGCATCCAGCACCAAAGGGGGCTCCGCCTCCAGCCACTCCAGGGCCAGGCCCAGCAGGGACACCTGCAGCATCTGCAACGGGCACCAAGCCTCCCAAGGGCCTGCCAGCGCCAGCCACCGGCCCCACGGGCGGTCCGCCTGCAGCTCCGCCAGCGGGCACACCTCCTGCAACGCCTCCTGCCGCGGCGGCCGCTCCAGCGACGCCTCGCCGAGCCCCAGCGCGCCTGCGAGCGCCTCCAGCAGCGCCTCCAGCCGCTGCCGCTCCGCCGCCTCCAGCAGGTGGTGCCCCTGCAGCGCCTCCAGCCGCTGCAGCCGCGCCTCCGGCAGGTCGCGCCCCAGCCGCACCTCCAGCAGCTGCAGCACCGCCACGTCCACGTCCGATCGCCTTGGCCTTCGCCTTCGCCTTGCCTCGGCCGACGCCTCGACCACGGCCGACTCCCGCAGGAGGCGCAGGCAGCGCCGCTGCGGCCCCCGCTGGCAGCGCCAGGAAGCCGCCCGCGCCAGGCGCGCCTGCTCCAGGCGCTCCGCCTCGCCCTCGGCCCGCGCCGACGGCCACAGCCGCCATCAGCGCCACGACCACCGCCGCCATCAGCGCCGCACCGCCTCGGTCGTGCTTGCGGCGCGCGAGGCGGGCCGAGCGGGGGCGCGCCCACGGCGCATCTGTAAGCACAAAGCTTCGGACGAGGCGGCACGCGTCGCAAGCAGACTGGGGGGTGAGCGTGGCACGAAACAACACACATTAGGAACATGATATTCTTTGAATGGCCTCCGGCCAGTGCCACCGATCCGGGGCGCTCTGGATGCTGGCGGTTGGTGCGACGACGACGGCGACGACGACGACGTCGACGCCGACAGAGGACGATTTACGACTAGGACCTACTAGGAGGGAGGCGGGAGGCGGGAGGCGGGAGGCGGGAGGAGGGAGGAGGGAGGATGGGGAGGATGGGGAGGAGGCGGACGAGGAGGAGGAAAACGAGGAGGAGGAAGAGGAGGAGGAGGAGGAGGAGGAGAACAAGGAGGAGCAGCAGGAAGAGCAGAAGCATGAATGAGGATACTGAGAACGAGGATGAGGACGAGGATGCGGACGAGGACGGGAACGATGATGATGAGGGTGATGATGATGCTGCTGATGATGATGTTACTGGTGATGGTGATGATGCAGCTGATGATGATGATGACGACGATGATGATGATGATGATGATGATGATGACGACGACGACGACGACGACGACGACCGACGACGCGACGACGACGCCGACGACGACGCCGGAGACGGACGACGACGACGGACGACGACGACGACGGCGACGACGAGCGATGATGATTGATGATGATGATGATTGTGATGAGTGATGATTGATGATGATGATGTATGATGAGGATGAATGATGATAGGAATGGAATGATGATGTTATGATGATGATGATGATGATGATGATGATGATGATGATGATGATGATGATTGATGATAATTATTATGACAGATGAACGAGAGGAGTGGGAGAGGATGCGAGTGTAGGAGGCAGGCGGCGACGAGGTGGCGACGGGGCGGCGACGGCGGCAACATTGCCGCCAGACCGACAGACAGGCCCAGACGACGGGCGGCGACGAGGCAGCGACGCGGCGGCGACGGCGGCAACATAGCCGCCAAACCGACAGACAGGCCCATGCGACGAGCGGCGACGAGGCGGCGACGGGACGGCGACGGCGGCAACGTAGCCGCCAAACTGACAGACAGGCCCAGTTCCTTAGAGCAAAAGAAAAACTCAAAGTGCAAGCGTTGTTTTGGGAATGTGGCTCAAGATGCATAAGGTCAAGAGTCAGACCATGAATAATGAACACATGAGAAGACACGATCGATTGGCCAATCCCACTATCATGTCAAATCCAACCCGTCCAAAGTTACATAGAAACGCGTCGCGTTGCAAGTGCCCATGTGTTTTCCCAATGCGTCCAAGTCCCCAACTTCCTCGCGATGACAAGATAATATCGACGCAGTACCTGGTCTATATAGCAGCACGCTGGGCCAACGACGCCGAAACAACCCATGCGTATATATTATAACTAGAACCACGCGCGCGCTTCGCGCGCGCTTCGATTCTCGCGCATGCTCCTGTTCTAGCCGGCTCCGAAGACGGTATTAGCAGGCACAGGTCCGATCCCGTGACGTTTCCCAAAATACCCGCAGAATCTATCACCTGAACCCCACACCGTAACCCGAACACCAACTCCTAAAATCTTATACCCAAGCCCTGACACCCGAACAAATCAGAACACCCCAGACCGAACACCCGAATTAACCCAAGCACCGATCATCTGCACCCGAGCCCGAAAACCCTAACCCAATACTCGAACTCCCGAACAGCCCAACACTATCACCTGAAATCAAACAGCCGAACTTTAAAATTCTAGCCCTAACCTAACACCCTTACCCTGACACCCTCACCCTTACACCCTAACCGTGACACATAATATCCGAGCCCTGAGCCCGAAACCGAACGCCTCAACAACCTGACCCAAACACCCTAGCTCAACACCTTGACAGAAACACCCTGACTCCTCATCTGGCTCGTCCTTCAGAGCCTTCTCGCCCAGAGCTCCCGCTCGGGGCGGAGAAGGACAAGGCGAGAATATGATGGATGTGGGGAGAGGGAGGGAGATGGAGAAGGAGGGAGAAGCAGGAGAGAGGGAGGAGTGATGACGAGGGAGAAGGAGAGAGAAGGAGGCAAAGAGGAGGAGAATGAGGAGAAGGAGGAGGTGGGAGGAGGAGGACACATGCGTACATGCAGACAAGTGCACACAAACAGAGGCACGTACAAACAATACCTGTGCGCGGGTCGTGAGTCAGGGGATCTTGGATGCCTTTCGGTGCCTCGCGGAACGATTCTCAGGAACTTCTTGGACGCTTCTGCGGGGCCTCCGGGGGGCCTCTCGGCGCCTCTGTGAGCCTCTCGGGAGCTTCTGGGGCTCTCTTGGGAGCGCCCTGGAGGCCTCCCGGATGGTCTCGTCGGCGTGTTGGGGGACAGACGGCCAGAGATGAGGCCCCACGGCCCTTCTTGGAACCTTCTTGGGGCCCTCTTGGGGCTCCCTTGGGGCCCGCTCGGGGCTCACTTGGGCCGCCTTGAGGCCCTCCTGGGCCGACCCGAGACCGCCCCGAGCCGCCCCGGGGCGCCCGTGGGTGCCTCCTGGGGCTGCTTGGGCGCTCTGATCGCCAAGGGGGCGAACTTGCCAAAAAGAAGCGTTTTGCGGCAGGAATGGGGCCATCTTGGTCTCCCGGGGCCCTCTCGGAGCTCGCTTGGGGCGTCTTGAGGGCCGCCTGGCCCTTCTGGAAGCCATCTCGAGCCGTCTTGAAGCGCCCCCTGGGGCCCTCTCGGAGCCCTCTTGGGGCTCCCTTGGGGCCCGCTTGGAGCTCGCTTAGGCCGTCGTGTGGCCCTCCTGTGCATCGGTTCTAAAGGACCCCCCACCTTGCAAAATCTGTTCCAGGGACCCCCCCACCACGCCCGACATCCCCAGCCTCCTGGAGGTTCGGTTATTAGAACCCCCTCACCCTGCAAAATATGTCTTGGGACCACCCCCACGCCCGAACCCCGCCACGCCTGACATCCCCAGCCTCCTGGAGCCTCTGTGCATCGGTTCTTAGGGATCAACCGCCCTGCAAAATCTCTCTCGGGAACCCCACCACCACGCCCGACATCCCCAGCCGCCTGGAGCCCCTGCGCATCGGTTCTCAGGGACCCCCCACCCTGCATCCTGTCCCGGGACCACCCCCTACCACGCTCGACATCCCAAGCCTCCTGGAGCACCTGAGCATCGGTTCTTGGGGGGCCCCCCATCCGACAAAATCAGTCCCGGGACCCCTCCCACCACGCCCGACATCCCCAGCTTCCTGGAGCCCCTGTGCATCGGTTCTAAAGGACGGGCCACCCTGCAAAATCTGTTCCAGGGACCCCCCCACACCACGCCCGACATCGATCCCTAGCCACCCCCGACCATTCCTAGCCTCCTGGAGCCCCTGTGGATCGGTTCTGAGGGACCCCCCACCCTGCAAAATATGTCCCGGGACCTCTGGGACCCCCCCCACCACGCCCGAACCCCACCACGCCTGACATCCCCAGCCTCTTCGAGCCCCTGTGCATCGGTTCTTCGGGATCCCCCACCCTGCAAAATCAGTCCCAGACCCCCCCCAACCACGCCCGACATCCCCAGCCTCCTGGAGCCCCTGTGCATCGGTTCTTAAGGACCTCCCACCCTGCAAAATCTTCCCCGGACCCCCCCCCACTACGCTCGACATCCCCAGCCTCCTGGAGCACCTGTGCAGCGGTTCTTGGGAACCCCCCACCCTGCGTTATCAGTCCCGAGACCCCCCCCCACCACGCCCGACATCCCCAACTTCCTGGGGCCCCTGTGAATCGGTTGTTGGCGACCCCCAACCCTGCAAAATCTGCTCCAGGGATTCCCCACCACGCTCGACAACCCCAGCCTCATGGATCCCCTGCGCATCGGTTCTTGGGGACCCCCACCCTGCAAAATCTGTCCCGGGACCCCCTCCCACCACGCCCGAAACCCACCACGCCTGACATTCCCAGCCTCCTGGAGGTCCTGTGGATTGGATATTAAGGACCCCCACCCTGCCAAATCTGTCCCTGGACCCCCACCACCACGCCCGACACCCCGAACCTCCTGAAGCCTCTGCGCATCGGTTCTGAGGGACCCCCACCCTGCAAAATCTATCCCTGGACCGCCCCCCACCACGCTTGACATCCCCAGCCTTCTGGAGCCCCTGCGCATCGGCTCTTGGGGACCCCCCGCCTTGCATCATCTGTCCCGGGACCCCCCCCCACCACGCTCGACATCCCCAGCCTCCTGGAGGACCTGTGCATCGCTTCTTAGGGACCCCCCACCCTGCAAAATCTGCCCCGGGACACCCCCTCACCACGCCCGACATCCCCAGCCAGGCCCGACATCCCCACCACGCCCGAGCCCCACCACGCCTGGATCGGTTCTGAGGGACCCCCCACCACGCCCGAGCCCCACGACGCCTGACATCCCCAGCCTCCTGGAGCCTCTGCGCATCGGTTCTTAGGGATCCCCCACCCTGCGAAATCAGTCCCCCACCCACCACGCCCGACATCCCCAGCCTCCTGGAGCCCCTGTGCATCGGTGCTTAGGGATCCCCCACCCTGCATCATCTGTCCAAGGACCCCCCCCAACACGCTCGACATCCCCAGCCCCAGCCTCCTGGAGCCCCTGTGCATCGATTCTTGGGGACCCCCCGCCCGACAAAATCTGTCCCTGGACCCCCCCACCACGCTCGACATCCCCAGCTTCCTAGAGCCCCTGTGCATCGGCTCGAAAGGACCGCCCACCAAGCAAAATCTGTTCCAGGGACCCCCCCCACCACGCCCGACACCCCGAGCCACGCCCGACATCCCTAGCCTCCTGGAGGTCCTGTGGATCGGTTATTAAGGAACCCCCGCCTGCAAAATCTGCAACGGGACCCCCCCCACACACAACGCCCGAACCACACCACCCC